TGGCCTCGAAGTCACGAACTCAGAGAGATCCGCCTGCCTCTGCCTCCTGAGTGCTGGGATTAAAGGCGTGCGCCACCACACCCGAACTGTAACTGTACTTTTAAAAAATATTTTGGTAGCAGGGCGTGGTGGCGCACGCCTTTAATCCCAGTTTTGAGGGGACTGGTGAGTGGCAAGCAGGACCCTTCCCCACCAGAACAATTGTCTGAAGCTTGGACTGGACAGTTGTCTGAAGCGTGGATTGTGGTTGGCCAAGACTCCTCTGTTTCTAGGGTAACACTGGATCCTCTGGTGCTGAAACCAAGGGAAGGGAAAATCGATGAACACGGCAGGGAAGATAGGAACAGAAGGGAGAAACAAAGCTAGATACCTGAGGTGGGAGAACATGATAGCCCACATCTGTCATCCAGCACTCAGGTGGCTGAAGCCAGAGAGGCTAAAGGCTGACATCAGCCTGGGCTAACAGCATAGAGTACCTCAGTGAGGGGCTGCGGGGGGGCGTGGCTCAGGGTAGACTGACAGCCTAGAATCCCCAGTGAGGGGCTGGGGGCGTGGCTCAGGGTAGAGTGACAGCCTAGAATCCCCAACTGGGGCGTGGCTCAGGGTAGAGTGACAGCCTAGGATCCCCAACTGGGGGCGTGGCTCAGGGTAGAGTGACAGCCTAGAATCCCCAGTGATGGGCTGGGGGCGTGGCTCAGGGATAGAGTGACAGCCTAGAATCCCCAGTGAGGAGCTGGGGGCGTGGCTCAGGGGTGAAGTGACAGAGTCCCCAGTGAGGGGTTGGGGGCAGTAGCTCAGCAGTGACCTGCCCTAGCACGTGGGAAGCCCAGGGGTGGTGGCAGGGGGAGGAAAGAAAGCCCAGGAGCCAGCTAACTGGGAACTGGGCCAACTGACTCAGGAAGCTGTTGCTGTCTGTGGCCCCACCTCATTTCCTGTTTTTCCTCTTATTTGTGGTCTGAATCTCCTAGAACCTGGTGCCTTGCTGGTTCCATGTAGGCCTAATTCCCAAAACAGTCTTAAGCTCCCTCCCAGGCCAACCACCTTCCCTAGGGTCCTGTGCAGAGTAAGCTTCTGAAGAATTCCCATCCTGCCTGTCTGTCTAAGGCTTGTCTGTCCTTTGCCTGGGCTAGTCCTGCCTGATCATCTTCATAGCCCAGCCCAGCCAGGTTCTGGAAGGATAGAAGGAACACAGGCTCCCTACCCAGGCTTCCTTCCACTAATAGTGGGTGCCCCTCCCAGGGACCCAGCAAGACCCTCTGGGGCAGAGGCTGATCCTTAAAGGCTGCTAGTGCTAAGGCCTTCCTGCCACTCTAGCTGCGGGGGGGGGGGGGGGGGGGGGGGGGAAATGCTAGGAGGCCCCTGAGACTCCGAAGCCACTAGGAGCTTGGCTTGTAAACAGGGTGTCTGGAAGTGACATGAGAGCAGGCTGGCAGTTTGCCCAGACAGGGAAGGACAGGCTCTGCTTGGTGCATACAGGGAGGGGCACCCCCTTTCTATTCCCACTGGCTGAGACATCCAGATACCAGTGTGGGGGTTCCTTTGAGTGATCCGCAGTGTGAGTGTGGCTGTCACAACTCACTGTCTTTGCATAGAGTGGATGGAGGCTGGGGGTACTGCTCAGCACCTTGCAGGGTCCAGATCCTCCATTGAGAACTGTCCAGCCCTGTGTCCACTCTTCCTGGTGGGGTGGGAGGGTCGGACAGACCCTGGGGTGGAAGGAACCCAGTGCCAAGGTCTGGCTTCCTACTTTTTGGCATCCTCAGCTTCCCCATGAGGCTCCTGAAGGAACACAGGTGATGAGGCTGGTGGGCAGGGGCCTAGCTGTGGATTGGGGAACAAAGCCAGCCCCTCTATTAAGATCTTAAATTATAGCCGGGTGTGGTGGCGCACACCTGTAGTCCCAGCACTTGGGAGCAGAGGCAGGCAGATCTCTGTGAGTTCAAGGTCAGCCTGGTCTACATAGTGAATTCCAGGACAGCTGGGGCTACAGGGAGACCCTGTCTCAAAAAGACCAAAAAAAAAAAAAAATCTTAAATTATAGGGCTGGAGAGATGGCTCAATGGTTAAGAGCACTGGCTGCTCTTACAGAGGACCCAGATTTGATTCCCAGTACCCACATGGTGACTAACAACCATCCATAAGTCTAGTTCCAGGGGATCAGACACCCTCTTCTGACCTCCATGGGTACTGCATGACATGGGTGCACTTACATGTAGGCAATGAATGCCCTCAAAGAAAATAAAAATATTTAAAAAATTTTCTTTTGGTCTTTTTGAGACAGTGTTTCCCAGTAGCCTCAACTGGCCTAGAACTCACTATGTGGACCAGGTTTGGCCTTGAACCACACCGTGCTGGGACTGCAGGTGTGCACTACCATGTTCAACTTGATTTATAAATTTTCCACTCACTTGTCTTTGTGTGTAGGGCAGAAGATAACCTATGGGAGTCAGCTCTCTCCTTCCATCATGCAGGGTCCTGAGGATGGAACTCAGGTAATTAGGCTTCACTGCAAGCATCTTTGCCCGCTAAGCCATTCCACCAGCCCTGTTTTTTGCATGCCAGGAAATGCTTCCCATGACTACCCAGTCCCCTGAACGAATAGGTCCATGTCCTGATTCTTGTGCCCATATGAGGATGATGTTTAAAGACAGGATCTTTGCAGATGCAGTTAATAACTTAAGAAGATGGGGGCTAAGAGCACTGACTGCTCTTGCAGAGGACCTGAGTTCAATTCCCAGCACCCACATGGTGGCTACAAACCATCCTTAACTCCGGTTCCAGGGGAATCCAAAGCCCTCTTCTGACCTCCATGGCATTCATTGTACGACATGGGTGCATTCACATACATGCAGGCAACACACTCATACACATAAAATAAATAAAACATGTCGGGCGTGGTGGCACACGTGCCTTTAATTCCAGCACCTGGGAGGCAGAGGCAGGCAGATCTCTGTGAGTTCAAGGCCAGCCTGGTCTACATAGTGAGTTCCAGGACAGCTGGGGCTACAGGGTGACCCTGCTTCAAAAAGTCCATATATATATTTTATTTTTTTTGGTCATTTTGAGACTAGGCTGGCCTTGAACTCACAGATAGATCTGCCTGCCTCTGCCTCCCAGGTGCTGGGACTACAAGTATGCGCGCCACCATGCCCCCAAGCCTGGCTAAATAAAATATTTTTTTAAAAAAAAGATGAAGCAGGGCTGGAGAGATGTTCAGTGGTTAGGAGCACTGCCTGCTCTTGCAGAGTACCTGGGTTCAGTTCCCAGTACCCCAATGGCAACTAAAAACTGTAACCCCATTTCCAGGGGGATCCAACGCCCCCTTCTGGCTTCTGGGTATTGCACACACAGGTGCACATACATATACCCAGGCAAACACACATACACATAAAAATAACACTGGGACAGTGGTGCATACCTTTAATCCCAGTACTTGGAAGGCAGAGGCAGGCGGATCTCTGTTTGAGGCCAGCCTGGTTTATATAGTGAGTTTCAGGTCAACCAAGGCTACACAGTGAGATTGTCACAAACGAAGAAAGAGGCTTGGAGGCCGGGTCAGAAGGAACAGCCAGGCAGAGAGGATGGAGGGAAAGGTGTTAGGAAACCTCTCTTAGCAGGCATGGAAGGTTGGAAAGTTGGCAAGATTCACACACACTCATGACCGGACTGGGATTTCCCTATGGTTCCCCCTAGAAATCCCTAGAGGCTAATTCAACAACTGGATGTAAGGAAGCCGAAGCTCCCTTCCCAGCCTGAGTTCCAAGGGGCTGCAGAATCCTCTGTGAGCTCAGGGCCTGGATGGAGGACAATAGCTAACGTGTGGAAGAAACTTCTAGAAAGACAAGGTGGCCTGCAGAGGGAAAACCCCTTTGTAAAAGCACAGAGAAGCTAAGCCAGCAATTGTATACCGGGTTGGATGTCTTCAAGCCAAGGACGAGAGGGTCTTTGCCAACCACAGTGCAAATTTTTGGGGTGGCACACCTGGAGTGGGAAGCAGGAGGTGGTGGCCAGGTCTCTAGCATTAAAAGGCAGGAAGAGATGGCACTCCACTCGTGGTGAGGGTACACAGGCTCAGCATTGAGGAACTGCAAGAGAGTTGTAGAGGGGCAGCATCTACCAAGGGCATGAGAATCCTAGCTTCTAGGTCAAGTTGAGGGAGGCTGCCCTGTTTCGGGGACACTCAACGGCATCCAGCTGGCGTCCCGGGCCCTTCAGAACCCTCGGAACCTTAAGCACCACAACTCAGGGAAGAGGGCCAGAGTTGCGCGGTTGGACGCCCAGCTGCGCACGCGCATGGGGATAAGCAACGCCTTCCCACCCCCGAACCGCCTGGATTGCGCTGTCGTACTTGGAGCTCCCTTGATGCTCCACGCTCAGCTATCTCGAATTCCAAGAAAACTGGTTCCTCGCCAATTCAGAGTGCGCAGCAAACACCTAAAAAAAAAGTACTTCTCCTGAGCTCCGCCCCCAAGATGGCCGAAAGCCACTTCAAGCTCGAAGTGCGCGAGCGCACTCACTGCCCTTCGCCGAGCGTCTCGCGCAGCCGCACTTAGCGTATCCCAGTGCTGGTGCTTTCCGCGCAGCCGCACCCACCGCCCTCTGTGACTGCCTCCTTGTGCGAGAACTGCGCAGCCGCACTCAGCTTCCCTTCCAAGCTCCGCCCCTCAAGTTCTAATTGCACAGCCGCCTATAAGCTCCACCTCCTCACCTCACAGGGAGGCGTGTCCCGATGCAGGGGCATGGCTTTCGCGGAGGGGGCGGAGCCAGTCCGGGACTGTGCCTATAAAAGCGGCCGCGCCGGCCGCGCGCGCGGCTCCTCTCCGTGGCGTTTGCCCAGTGGAGGGGTCCGCAGTGGCGGTGGTGGCGGCGGTGGCGGTGGTGGCGGCGGTGGTGGCGGCGGTGGCGGCGGTGGCGGCGGCGGCGGCGGGGCTGTTCCCCGCGCTGC